AAAGAGCACAGCTGCCTGGCTGAGTTATCACAATGACTTGTTGCTCTTATTTTCTGGCTTTTTTTTAACCTGTTGGGTGTCCTGGAGAGAACTTCCCTCTTAGCAGCAAGCTATTAGATCAGGCTAGCATGTACAGTTTGTACTGCTTCCCTGCTAGATCCCTTCTCCTCAGATGGAGAACCTGTTAATCCCACAGAACTAACAGAAAATAGCTTGATTAGGCTCTTAAAACCTCTGTTTATAAAATTAATTATACTTGCATGAGAAAGGCTTTTGACCCTTCCTGCAGATTCTCATGTTTCTCCCCTGAAATGGGGAAGTTTACATGACTTAGAACTCTTTTTAATGCTATTTCATGATGTGAAAGTAAGTAAAACTAGCAGTAAGCTGTAACAAGGTATCAGCTGATGTTATCATCCCTTGTCTGGGGCCATCTGAACTTGGGGCAGTATTGGTGGTTTTCTTTGCTATGGAATATTGGTGGTTAACCACTAATATTTAAAAATGTATCTACAAATTGTCCATAAGGGTGCATAAACATGCTATTGTAGTAGTAGTCTGAACTCAAGCACACAGCAGATGTTTACAATTAACAGCTGCTTTTATTGAAAAAGCTGTCCAGAGCAAGATCTTCTAGGACAAACTGTTTGCTTCAATTCGCAAGAAGTATCGTAATTGACAAATTATTGTTCTCCCTCAATTCTCTTCCCTCAATGCATCTTCCAGTAGGTCTAGTAACCCGGATTTCTGATGTGTACACCTGTAGTTCTCACTTAAAGCAGCATCTGTGCTACAACATACAGGAAACAAAGTACTCTGTCCTGTGTGGGCAAGTGCCCGCAAGGCTTCACTTCTGAAGTATGAACTAGAGCAGCTTTTCCCAAATCTTGACAATAAAAAGCCAGCATGACAACAGAGGTATTTACTAAGCTGATGTTCATCTGAGCTCTGGAGCCTGAATGAAAGATGATATTCTGGGTCCAAACCAAAGCTTCATCTAGCCTGGTATTTTTTTTGCCTCTCCTCCTAGGGAAGAAATTAGTAGATACGTAGGGAAGTACAAGGCAGGTATACTGTCTTGTTTGAGTCCAAATTGTTTCTTCTTTCTTTTACCTTGTGTTTCATTAATAGACCTGGCAGCTAGGTATCATAATGTAATCTGGTTGGTAAAAGTCAAGAAAAATTCTAAGTGTCTGCTGGGAGGTTTGAGTGTTTCTATCTATCTTTTCTTTCTGGATTCAGCTCTAAATAGCCTGCTAGAAAAATAATTTTGGTGTCTCTAGTGAAGACAATACTAAAGAATCAATAGTAAAAACCAAGTAATGCTTGTATATTCGTAACTGCACAAATATGCACAAATATGACTTTATCGGTGTAACAGTTAAGAGCAGCAAAACTTGTCATAAGCTTGTACACAAGCTTCCAGCCAGTAATTAAAAATGCATGGAGGCCATTAGCTTTCCAAGGTGTTTGTCTTCTGGTATTACAGCTGTTTCCCAAACCATGCATATTAACTTTGACTTCAATGATAATAGTTGGTGCATTATTTGACTTGTGAAGCAGAAGGGTTTAATCTCTTGATAATTTAATTTAGAATCTATAAGACAATTAGCAAACCTCCCTATGAACTCCTGAAGACAGATGACTTGTCAAGCAGCCTTCCGTCTCTGCAAGATATCCAGACTGCATACACAAGATTTAAACAGCTGTTTTTGATAGGTAAGTCAAACCTTAAAGTAGTCTTTTGTCTCTGAAGTGACAGAGATGCAAAGCATACCAATACTGTTTTATATCTCATGAATGCAGTCTTTGTCTTGATTGGTGTCTTGGTTTTGACAGTGGTTAAAAGCAGTTTTTTAAATATGTAACTGAAGACTGTGCTTATTACTGGCATGTGTCACCGTTTAAGGCTGGGCTGGCAATTAAGTGGATGACAGATGCTCTCTGTTAACCCCTTACTTCCCCAGAAGAGGAAAGGAAGGAGAAAAGGGAGATATGTTTATGAGTTAGAAAATTAAAACAACTTTAATAAAACAATAACAATGACAAACAGAGTATAATACTATTAATAATAATAATGGAAATAAAAATATACAAACCCAATATTGAGCTTCCCAATGATGATCATGGAATTGTGTGCTGCAGTGGCTCTCACTGCTGCCACAGCAGGGCGGGCACCAGGATATCCCAGACTGGACTCTGCAGCAGATGGGAACTCGATTTAGGAGTACATGGATTGGGATCAGAGGCCTGATAACGAGCAGCGTCCCACAGGGATACCAGCTGTGAAAGAGAAAGAGCTGAGCCTTGTTATCCCTTAGCTTTATACTAAGTATGATGTGAATGGGATGGAGTACTTCATTGGTCAGTTTTTCATCACCTGTCCCATCTGCTCCTTCCTGCAGGTGTGACCCTGTTAAACCTTTTCACTTATGAACTGTTAGACAGCCAGCAGTGACCTTGGTTCCTATAGGAATAAGCACAAACATGGGCCTTTCTGCATACTAATCCTACCATTACCTTGGTAACAACTGTAAACATCGAGTGTTATCAATTCTAAAAGCAGACACAGTCTGAAAAACATGTAGAGTCGGCTTCAGGAAGTACAGGTACTTAGAAGAAACTTAAGTGAAGGAAAACGTACTGAAAGGAGAATTGGTTCTGTTTTAATCAAAACCAGGACAGCATGTTAATGGAGGTTTGTAGTTCTTAGACTGACTACCTCTTGCGAAGCAGTCACAGTATCTGAAAATAACCTTTTTAAAGAGAGAGACTATGGAGTTTAATGTTAGTTGGATACACTAGCTGGATTGAAACTTATGGGAGAGATTTTTCAATCTTCTGTGGTCCATTGGAATTGAACACCCCATCCCTGGAAGTGTTCGAGGCCAGGCTGGATGAGGCTTTGAGCAGCCTGGTCTAGTGGAAGGTGTCCCTGCCCATGGCAGAGGGGTTGGAACTGGATGGTCTTTAAGGTCCCTTCCAGCCAAACCATTCTATGATTCTGTAAACTTCCAGTGTAACTTGAATTTCCTGAACACAATCCCAAACTGAAGGTTCAATTATAAAAATCCTCATCATACACAGCAGAAAACACAGTAGTAGGTTAGCTACTTGAAAGAGGATTTTGATGGGAGCAGTTTGGATCCTCTTAAATTGTTCCTCTTACTTGAAACGACAGATGCTGGTTTTGCTAGACTGCTCACAAGTCTCAGTGTATGCCATTTGCCTATGTACCTTAAATGAGACTTTGAACATTTAAGTTCTCAAATCCTAGTGGAGTATTTCTTCATTCTCCTAGAAGACAGGGAGGAGGGTAAAGCTTGCTGTCTATTGTGATGTTATTAAGCAAAATACCTTAAGGGGTTAAAACAAGCTGCAAGTGTTTTGTTGTGCCTTTAAAAAGAAGTTCCTGTTTTGACTTGGAGATGACTTTGGCTGTGGGAGAACTGCCAGACCAAGCAATTGTTTGTAGAGGCCTGCATACAAGTGGTTGAGTCTGTGTTGAGCATGACTGAACAAAACAGCCAGCCACACTTAATGTGGCTGCTCAACTTCTGGGATTAAACCTCTTCTGTCATTCTCTTGCATTATGGACAGTATAGAAAACTTCAGTATGGAATATAAATGTTAACACTATAGATGAAAGCCCATTATTTTTGCAGGAAAAAAGACAGAAATCTCTTTTCCTTGGTATCATGTCCTTTGGGTGGTTTTGGAGGACTAGAAATTGGTACTATAATTTTGCCTTGATTCAGAATGGACAGAGGTTTTTCAAATAGTGATGGCAGGCTAAATGGAACATGAGATTCAGGTGCAAGGGAATATTCTAAAACTTGGATGGAAAGAGGCTGAACTGGGGAGTAAAAGGTGTCTTACTTGAAGTACTGTAATGTGTGTACTTTAAAGGGTATCATACTTAAAGGTTGGAAGTGAATTTGAAGATGTTAATCGGAAAAGATTGGAGAAAACTGCATCTAATGTGAACAGACCTGACTAGGGAGCTTTGAAGATGCATTCTGTCGCTTTTGTGGAGAACTAGTTTCTATGGCCTGGGTGAAATGAATCAGGCAAAGAAAGATTTTTTTTTTTTTTTTTTTTTCTTTTAAATGTGTAATGAACCAAGTGAGGAGCATGAGCAGGCATGGAGGCAGAACAGCTGCAGGAACAAAATAAGTATATGCCTGTGCACTTGAGAATCATAGATGCAAGCTGCAGAAAACAAGACAGAAGTGAGTATCTGTTGGAATTAAACATGGGAAGCATGTGGAGAGACTTTGGGAGGTGAAAAGTTATACAGAAACATGCAGAACTGAAGCTATCAGGGGAGGGTAGGGAAGGACGGAAGTGTGGTGTATCTCAGTTGTTTCTTAATAGTAGACCTTGGGCTTCAAAGTTTGTGTCTTATGCAGGAAAAGTAATCTATTCTGGTTTTAAATGATCATATGTCCTGGTTTGGCTGAAACAGTACTATTTCTGCTTTCAGTTGATTTTTTTTTTTTCTTCAGTTAAGTTTTCTTAGTAACTGCCCTGTCTGAAGCTGACTACAGGTTTCAGGCAGTGCCTGCTCTACAAGTTGATGGCGGTTCATGTCCATAGCTGTTGCTGGAGCAGGAGCAGGATTGTTAAGCAGAAAGGCCCACGGGTGGGTGCTTGTTCCCTGCGGGCTCTCTTGGGCTCCGCTGGGCTCCTCCTGGGGGGAAGGCGGAGGAGGGGTTGCACCTCCAGGAAGCTGCAGAGGGGACCAGTGACCCAGGCCTGACCAGTGCAGTATTCCATCCCACCCATGGGAATACTCGGTATAAAGCTCAGGGATCACGGGGGTCAGCACTCCTTCCTTTATGGCTGGCATCCTGGTGGGACTCTGCTCACCCTCCTGCCGCCGACCCTGACCCATGCACCCCTCAATCCGGTTCCTGCCTGCTGTGGAACCCAGTTCCAGCACTGCAAGCTGCCGCAGCGTGGCATGTGGTCCTGCGGTCATCATTGGGAAGAGCAATATCGGGTTTGTACATTTCTATTTCTATTATTAGTAGTACTAGTTTTAATATTATTTATACTCTTTTCACTGTTACTGTTTTATTAAAGTTTGCTTTAAGTTTCCAACCCGTAAGTGTCTCTCCCTTTTTTTCCTCTCCTTCCCCTTCTGGGAAAGGATGGGGTTAACAGAGAGCTTCTACCACCTGCTTCAAGCACTCGTCCATCCTTAAATGGTGACACCATATCAGCTTGTGGGAGCTTTCCAGTTTCTGAATACTGCCTTTGATAGAAATAAAAGCAATAGAGATTCAGGTTTCATTCAAAAAGCTACAGAAATCCTAGAGAAGTTCATAAGCATTTAATGATTTTGTGGCATTGTACTTGACCTTCCAATTTACATTGGCAATTCCCTTTTTGATGTTATTTTAATGCCTCTTCACTTGCAATGAAAACTGTTTAAAACCTCTTGCAGGTAGTCTTACATTCCATAAATTTGTGTAAAATCCTTCTAAAACCCATTTGTCTTTCTGGCTCTAATGGTAATAACTTTCAAAATCCATTCTCCTTATGATAAGCTCTACGTAGATCATGTTCTAGAGTCAAGGCAAGTGGAACTTGAAAGAACCATCCCCTCTGATTAAACTTCTTTTCCTTTCCCATTTTGTCAACAGATTTATTTACTTGGTTTGGTTGCTATGACCTATAGCATACTTTTTCTAAAAGCCCATAGTGCTATAAAACTTTACTAGTGCTTGTAGGACTATTTCACTTCGTCATTTAGTTATAGGGTGTTGACTTAACAGTGATTAGGATTTACTGATTCTTGGTATTGGTTGTTTTATAACATTTCATAACTGAAGAGTAATAAAATGGATGGCTGTTAGCACTACATATATGTGAACAAACCAATTTTTGGTTTTGGGTTTTTTTTTTCCAGATAACAGTACAGACTTCTGGGCAACTGATGTGAAATGGTTTTCATTACTGGAGAGCACAAACTGGCTAGAGATAATCAGGTTTGCTATATCTGTAACTTTCTGGGTTTCAAGTTGTTGTTAAATGCATTTGTAGTGGGTTTTGTAGCTAGTTTCTTGAAATATGACGACATTCTTCACCTCCAGTAGGAAAGAAAGTTAAGACAGACTTATGGTCCAATTTATATGTCTTATTTCTACAACTTGAGACAGTATTTTTACAGTGCAGGCTTCTGTTAAGCCTCCCACATTAAAGGATGTGAGAAGCAGCAGATCATTCCAGTTGCAACTCTTCCAGCAAACCTATTAAAACTATAGATCCAGTAATTTCCCTCCTGCACTTAGTCACCTTCTTTCCAAACTGAAGAATCCTGTTTGTTTCTTGCATGAAACCTATTCCGTGTCTCTGACTAGCCTTGCCGTTCTTGTCTGTACTCTCTACTTCTGTAATATCCTTTAGGACGGGATGAACTGCAGTATTCAAGATGTTAGCCCACCAAAGATTTATAAAATGACAGTTGTTCTCAGTTTTGTCCCCTTCCTCTCCTGATTGTTCCTCAAGTTCTTTTTTCTTCTCTCAGCAGTCCACAGTGAGTAAGTGTTGGAATGGTGTTGACTAACTTAAGGCTTGTTATAGTGGAATATTGAGGGGTTTTATTTGTTTTCAGTGTTACTTTGTGCTAGCTCTGTTGTCTGCCAGTTTATTCTGTGATCTGCTTGTTACCATGAAGTGCTTCTGCAGTCAGCTTCAGTTCTTTTTAGTCTTAATAACAATCAGTAGATATTGATAGTTATTCATTCCTTAATCCAGAATTTACATGTATGTTGAATGAGAGGTTCTAGTGGAGATCATGTGTTCAGAAATGCATTGACATAAGCGAGATCAAGTATTTTAAAGTAAATGCCAGCCCAAGTTCCTATCCTTATGTTGTTCTGAGACTGGTCATTTCCATACTTGGATCCAGTTGCTTCCTGGATCAGCCTGTTCTTGGCACTTGCAGTTAGTAGGAATGCCTTCTCAGCTATTCCAGATGCTAGGACAAAGAATCTGACAACCCCACACTTAAGAAATAAACCGTCAGCTTCTATTAGTGACCTAAGAAGTTGCAAGAATCCTAATTTGTGTGCAAACTTTTGATGAAAATAACCAATTTTATGAAGAGTTAAGTCTAGAAACCAACAGTGTTACATCTGGTTTTATGTGATCTTTAATTCCACTCAGTCTTCCTCGTGTAATGATAGCCTCTGAATAAATTTTGTCTGCATGTTTACAAAATCTGATTGTTGATTCTTCCCTCTGCCTCTTAAAACCAGATTAGGGGAGAAATGTAGTATGTAGTAGTTTGTAACCTAAGTGTGGTGATGTTGACTCTTCCCAGGATAAAGATCTGGCTCTTAGCAATTGTAACACTTGTGTGTGTGTTTGTGATGGCTGCTATTGATCCAGAATAAAGTACTGTATTACAAATGTACAAAGATAACAACTGGAAATGCATGACCGATGGCCAAATAAAGATACCTCTTGAAAGTTTGCTCTTGAGGCTAAACAGTTATTCATTTACACAAGTTGAGCATGGGTTTTGTTGTTTTAAAGGACTAATCAAGTTTCAGTAGTATGATATTTTAAGCCCTTTTAGGGGAAAGTAATGTAAGAAACTTAATTGTAAAAATGCTATGAAAATGTTCACTTATCTTTTCCTGTATCACAACAGGCGAGTCTTGAAGAAAGCAATAGAAGTTGCTGAGTGTTTGGAAAGACAGCATACAAACGTTCTCCTTATAGGTAAGAATTTAATGAGATTATCCTATGTATTTTTAAAAATTTCTTTTGAATTCCTTTATATATAGCTTAAGCTGTAAATTTACATCATAGTGGAGGCTGGTAAAATCCATAGACTACTCAAAGTACCAGACACCCAAATCTCTCGCATTCCTGGAAATGCTTCCTGTAGTTAAAAAAAAAAAACCCATGGTAACCATAGTTCCAGGCTAAGAGTAATATGTTGTGAATGAGAAAGCTGCCGATAAATTGACAGGAGACTCATGCTACCTTTTGTTTATGCATTCCTGTTTCCTAACTTACTTTATTAAAGGTCTCCTAGACTTTTTGCTGTACTTGAAGGGAGTGGGGGAACAGCTACACAAAGAACTTGGAGTATGAAAACTTTCTAAAAGGATGTTTTTGTGTTCTAGATACACACTGAATACTATGTAGTCTCTAAAAAATACGTGAAAGAATATGCTTATTGTACACATCTTGAGCAGTTTGTTTTCCTGGATTGAGTAGAGTCATCACATGGAAAACCAAACTCAATGTTAACCATTAAGCTGCTTTTGGATTAGTAGTTTAGTTGTTTTTTTTCCACACTGCCATTTGAGAGACCTAGCATGGGGAACAGACATTTCTAGAAGGCACCTAAGGGTGAAGAATGCATGTTGCACGAGGAGGCAATTTCACACCTTGTGAAAAAATGCATACAGGATAGGAAGGGTAAGGGCAGATAGCTGGCCTGGTAGCATAGGGCAGAAGGGGGGCAGTATGTGCATTGCGGGAGACTGAAGGGCATAGGCATCAAAGTTACCACAGTAAAAGCTTGGTTTTTGCAGGTTTTATTATCAAAATATTATCCTAGTATAAGTGTACAATAAACCTTACATTGTTACAAAGGGAAGTATTGGAAATGTGGATTAAGTTTTCTCTGATGAAATAACCCTAGAAAGAAATTATGTGCTTCTCTGATCTTGAAATACAATTTTGTTTATGTGAAGCTAGCAATACTTTGTTTCTTACCCAAAGTTTTAGGAATGCCTTAGTAGACAATGTGGGTTCTGTTCTGTTCTATAGAAGAGAGTGCTACTGATCTGTGCTGTGTAATCTCTAGTCTGGTTCAAGTGATGATGGATTCATACAGCAGAACAAAGTCAGGGTTTCAGAGCCTTATTCAGAAGGAGTGGGTAATTGGAGGACATGGCTTTTTGGATCGTTGTAACCACTTACATAAAAGTGACAAAGAAGAGGTATGATTTTCTTACTGCTTTCTTTACTATTTAAAAGTTTACTCTGCATAAGGAGGGATTTAGATGTCAGTCCAGAAGTTCCAGTTACTCTTAGGATCTTTAATTCTGTGTTTTGTTTTATGGGTTGATGTTTTGTATAGTGTCACTATTTTTGCTGTTTAGAATTCAGCAATGTCTTTATAACTAAAGAGAAGAAATGTAAAATTTCCTGTTTAGTCTTAGGGTATTTTGAAAGACATATATCTCGCATCCTTTTAAACTCTATTAAATGGTAGTAGTGTCCATAAAAATAACTCAAGTGAATTGCCTATTCTTGCCACATCTAGAGTTTAACTTTATATGGTCTTGCTAGACGTTGCAATCTTGCCTCTCCTTTTATTTATATTTCGGTAATAGATCAGATTGCCATACAGGATGGAAATCATAAGTGTAAACTGACTAGTTCTGACCAAGAATTGCTATAAACTAGTTTTGCTTTGCCACCTTTAAAAGGCTGCATACCAGCAATTTTTGTAGCAAGTCAATGTGTGCAAATTCAGGTTAGAAAGTGTTTATCTCTTCTGTAAACAGCTGGCCCAGACGATACTTCCTTCAGAGTTCAGCAAAGTTATATGCAGCACTTCTGTAGTTAACCAGATTGCTTTCCTTAAGATTTGTATTTGGAGACACTAAATACTATAAAATAAATAGTCTGCATGGTAGAATGTATTTTTTTTTCTGAAACTGATGCAGTATTTTCTTTACTTAGGCTCCTGTTTTTCTGCTCCTGCTAAATTGTGTTTGGCAGTTGGTACAACAGTATCCTCCAGCATTTGAGTTCACAGAAACTTACTTAACTGTCTTGTCAGACAGCCTCTATGTGCCTATTTTTAGCACTTTCTTCTTCAACTCACAACATCAAAAAGACACTAATATGGTAAGGGTTTGTTATTTTGTGGATGCAATGTGTTGGAGAATGGGTTTGATCAACAAGCAAGCAACACTCAAAAAAACCCCAAAAACCCTAGCAGTATGTTTTTCCATACTTATTTGAAGGGTGGTGCCTTGAAGGGTGAATGAGTGCAACTTTCGGTGCAAGGAGTCAAGTTCAGGACTTAGTTTATGATGACAAGAGGAAAATAACTCAGGAATATATTAATTCTAATGTGTACCTATAGGTTCATGTTCATTGTTCTTCAATGAAAGCGAAGCTCCTTAACCTAAGAGGAATATCCTGCTGTCCTGCAGAATAAGTTATCTGCAGAATTCTTGTACAGTATATTCTGTTGTATTCCAAAATCAGCATTTCCTGAATGTTGATTTACATTTGGTTCATGCTTTTCTCTGGCCTAAGAAGCTGGAAGCAATGGGAGTATCCTCTGCAAGGCTGGACAGAGACTCAAAAAAAAAAAAAGTGAAGATCACTATCTTGTGTATAAATAAAGCATTGATCATAAAATTTAAACTGGTAGCACTGCATAACTGCAGTTAACTTTTGAAGTTTGAAGAGATTTATTCCACAATCCTAACTTGCCACCCCTGTGTTTGAAGAACTCAGTGTCTGTCTCCTGCCCGATTTTCAAAACTTTTATTTTTTTCCTTAGGTTATTTAATCTTATTTTCAACTGTGAAATGCATTCTTGGTGCTGTCTAATTGCATGGTTGGAATGAAATACTGTCTGAAGTTACAGAGAATTATATACAGATAGCCTTTGTGTCTGTCTTCACTTGCATCTATTAGTGTTGTTCAGCTATTGAATACATAGAAATCCTGAGTGTTGTTGCAACTCTGTGGCCTCTTCTGTGAAAAGCCGGTTTCTTAAGTTCACCTTGACTTGGTCAAAATTCCTTTCTAGCAGTATTAATTGTGACCTGTTTGTTTTGACAGAGTGGTGAAAGCCTCAAGACACAAAGCGGTCCTTTCAGATTTCTTACTGTGTGGGACTGGTCTGTGCAGTTTGACCCCAAGGCCCAGGCTTTCCTGAACAACCCTCTTTATGCAGAGAAACCAAAACCAGACAAAAGTCAACGGAAAACTGCACGATTCAAAGTAAGATATGTGCTCCTTAATGAGTTTTTGTGTTGTTTTTTTAATGATAAAAATATTTTGCACAACTCATACTTAAATGCACTCACAGTGGAAGAATGGTGCAGTTTTTTAATTGACAAAATAATGTACACCCCAGACTCACCTGGATCTTAGGAGGGATCTTTGCACCCACCTCAGTTATAAATCACTGTTTTACAGTTACTGTGTGTAGCTGTGAACTTAGGGGTTTTTCTTCATATCTTTGTGCAAGTGTAGTGATAACTCATGAGACAACATTCAGGTGAGTTGCATTGACATGTTTGAAGTGAGTTTATTTTGTTGTTCCACAGAGTGCCTAACTGAAATACATAGCAGGTTTATAATTGCCTCCCTAATTTTGTCTAATTGTGGTGTGTGCTGGCACTTGGAGGGGGAGGGGGACCAACAACAACAAAAACTGTCTAGGCTATGGAGGATTATGGCTGGACCACCTCATTACTGGAAAGTAGCACAAATTCAGTAAGAAAAGTTTGTTTGGAGTAGCCTCTTTCGATTTTAATATCCCTGTTGGTTAAATTCTGTTCTGTACAAAGCATTCTTGAGTGAGACGCTATCAGTATGATCTACAGCATTAATCAGAGAATTATTACGTGGTGGCATGCAGTGAGGAACTACTGGATAAAAACTTTTAAATCAAGTGCACTTTGATTTATGTGGCTAGCTTAAACTAAACATGGAAGTCTGTAATACATGAATGTATGAAAAGAATTCTCCTTTCCAAAGAAGAATGCTTTGTTCAGTGTTACTTCACTGCTATAGCTACAGTGCAGAGAAGGTATCTGGGAATACGAAGTATGCTGTGTGAAGTATTTGGTGTATTAACCATTGAAGAGTAAGTTTTAGACTATATAGTAAAGCAGTGGCTGTTTTTAAGTGACTTTGTTGCTTGTAAGTCTTTTCTGAATACACGTTACGTTTTTCTTCCTCTTAAGGTGTTTTCTAAAGTCCCATCAGTATTTATCTCAGTATATTTTTCTTTTCTTTCCTCTTACAGCATCAACGGCAATTTTCTTTGCCATTGACACAAACAAAACCTTCCACAAAGAGAGGATTTTTCAGGGAGGAAACAGATCATTTAATTAAAAACATTCTGGGTAAAACAATTGGCAAGTTCATAAATTCTTCAGATGAACCTCCTAATAGCTTCAGGGAATTTTATGATAGCTGGCATAGTAAACCTGTTGACTATCATGGTCTTTTGTTACCTCGCATTGATGGCCCTGAAATCAAAGTCTGGGCACAAAGGTATTTACGATGGATTCCTGAAGCCCAGCTTCATGGTGGTGGTACAATAGCTACAGCTGCCAAGATTTTGGACTTGATGGAGGAAGTGCAAAGCTTGCAGGTGAAAATGGATGAAGAACATAGTCAAGCTATTTCCAGAGATGTACATTCTGTTCCAATGCTGAGAAATTCTGCCCGTTTGTCATCCTTGTTTCCATTTGCTTTACTTCAGAGACAGTCTATCAAACCAGCTTTACCCACTAGCACCTGGAAAGACTTGGAAGATGAGGATGATTTGGTCAAGAGGGATGACGAATTTGTTGATCTAAGTGGTGATATGTCATAAAGTGTATATAAATTGAAGTATGAATTGTGGCTAAGCTCCCAGTTTTAAATGTTGTGCTGTATCCTCATACAAGGAACTCACTCAAGCATCTGCAGCCTGTTTAGTGGGTTTGGGGTTAAAAAAAACCTTGGTTGGAAAGAGCTAGTTGCCACGATTAACTGAACAAATTTTGAACTTCTATTTCACTCTAGCAGTATTTATTGCAGAAACACATTTTTTTAGCATAGGCGTAATAAAAACAGAAGTCTAGGCTGGAGTAGCCATATGGCCACATTGTTTAAAAAAGAAAAAAAAAAAAACCCACCCCATTATGTTCTGATTTAAAGGTGGAATATTAAATACACACAGCAACAATCACTGTCTTAACACAACTTCTTTCCCTTATGCTGAGAGTACTAGGATTGGAAGTAGTGTGACTAGGAATTTAACATCTGCGTTTTCCCCTCAAATAAAATAAACAGGGAAGGGTGCAGCTAAACGTGCATTCACAAAGAAGCTTTTTACAGCTGAGGAACAAAATTTGTGGTCACCAGGGGTTTTCTGTCTACTGTGGCATGAACTGAAGTCACGTGCTTGTCAACCTCATCTTTTCTGACAGTGTTCATCTTGGCTTGCAGCACTTCACCCTTGTGTGGTATTATAATAGCAGCTTGGCCGCCCTAAGTCTGTGCATGCACTTAGTTTAAGGATCAGATACAAGAGCTTAACTACACATTTCGAGTCTTACTGTGTGGCTGCTGTGCTAATCGCCCTTGCTGCCTTGGAATATTAAGCTGTTAATTTTAAGAAATGGCCTGACTGTGAGATTCTAATTTGCCATGAGTGTGTTTTCTCCTTTTAATAGAGTGACACTTTCATTTTGACTTTCCCCATTTATGCCAGTTGCCTTTGAGGCTTTCTGTAGCTTGCACTGAGACCCTCCGTGTAGAAGGGAAGACTTTTTCTGTAATCCTGCAGTGAAGCTGGATTTGCAGTTTGTTGCCACTTGTCATGAGTTGGTGGTACAGCTTATGAATGTGGCCTTCATACCCTATGAACACTTGCATCCTGTTGCTGGATGCTGTAACAGTACCTCAGTGAAAAAAGCCATAAAGAAATGCCTGTTGACTTTGACCTACTGTGTGTATGTTTATATATAAAGTATTTTTACTGCAAATAATCATAATTTGTAAAGCTGAATATTATTTGACTGTCAAATCTATTTTGAACCCTTAAATTCTAGAATACCCCAAGAATGGATGCAAGTCATAAAATCAATTACATTGAGAGGGTAGACATTGAATATTTTCTCTATTCTCATACCAATTTAGAAATCCGTGCCGGAAAACTTAGCTGGTGAAGAAACTGTTGCTTAAATTGGGTCAGCTCAGTGTAATTGGGGATATTAACTAGGTTACTGATTAATCACTTCACACTGAGTTGTCTTAATATGTATAGCAAAAATTCATCATCAGCCATCTAAAAATAAATTTTAATATGTTAAATTAAATGTATTAATTGGGAAATGGGAAGACCTTAATGCAACTATGCCAAACTGAAGCTTCCCAACTCTTGATTGCCTTAAGTTTTAGTAGTGTGAGGACAATACTTGAGTTTGTAACGTTTTATTTAAAAATACACTAGTACTTTACGCTTTATTCTGATATATATGATCTTACAGCTAGCATGGGCTGTCCAGCACATGTTGTTCAGACTCTATTATTGTAGTTGAAGTGACTCATGTATGCAATAATACTTTGCATGTGGAATGAGCAATGCATTTTTATGGTGAAGAAATACCTATCATTCTAAGGTCATTTGGGTTCAAGAGGTTTTCTTAAATGCTGCCATTAGAAAAAAATATTAAATGGAGTTTTCTATACTTTAAATCAAACCGTTGTAATGTTTCAGTCATGAAGATTACATATTTATATTAAAGAACAGATGTTGGACATCTTATTTGTACATAAGTTATCAGAAGTTTATATAGAAGAGAAACATATATGTGGAATTGAACATGGGAACACTTCTAATGTAGAGTAAATACTATTGTTATTGATTTAATGCACTGTGGGATTGGAAATGTACTTAATATTTTTACTCCAGGCTTCTGGTTATACCTCCCAAGGTTTGACACTGAATGCAAGTTAGAAGCTTTACAGTTTTGTTATTTTTTTTTTAATACTGTAATTTCTCTCTAGCAGGCTGTTTGGAGAGTGTCAATAAAATATACTTTGATGTATTTGTCCTGAAATAAGAATGTATGTTTAAGGTCGTCTTTTGCAAATGATGCTTTAAATCATAGCAAACTTGACAATCTGCAGTGACAAGGATTTTCTAGTTATATGCTGGGTTTTCACAGACTGTTAAGGAGAGGGAGCTGTGCAGTTTTGACCTGGTTGTACTTACTGGAGAGGTGCTGTCAGCTCAGGAAAGAGGAAAGCTCAGTGCCGTGTAGTAGGATGACTACAGAAAGCTACTGACATGATCTCGGAAATGTCTGCTGAATGTCAGTATTTGAGGGTTTTTTTAAACACTGTTTACTTGTCTTACTACTAAACACAATGCACTTGTCTTCCCCCATTTCAAGGAGGAACACTGTTCTTACAGTGTTGAACTAAACAACTTCTTGAAATCACTGCAGTGGGGTATTTCTCAAACCAAATGTATATTGAACATGGACTAGGAGATAGTCACAGTAAGCTGTAGAGTGCAAATTAAAAACTTCTGGTTTTTTGCAGAGACTACAAATTACTAGCTTCTGTACAAAACCAGGACTAACACAAAGCAAACATTCAAAAATAATGCCGCTTCGGGTATTTCCTAAAGAGAATGTTACAAGGCTGCAACAGACTTGTTCTTAAGTGTCTTATTCAGCAATAGCTTATGCAGCAGCTGAGAAGTGCAGGGTCACGTTGTAACACAAGGTGTGCCCCTGCCTCACCCACATCTAAAGATCAGTGAGTGTACTTTGACCGCTTGGCTTTGATTTGAGACAGTGTTCACTAACGCAAACGTTCAGCTATTGATGTACAATGTATTGGAATGCAAACATGTACTTCATAAAGGTACTTACAGCCAACTTGGCCTGCTGATACCTTGCTCCAGTTAAAGCTTTTTCCATCCGTGCTCAAAACACAGAAGTATAACTTCTTCAGGAGGTAGCAGAATATTTTCTGCTGTGGATGTGTTACGATGGATTAGCTTTGTCACATCAAAGGTTGCCTTCATTCTAATCTTTAGCTGGAAACTTCATATGCAGTGTTTACTGCCTGGTACTCTCTTGAAAAGAGCTAGGTTTTGCATAGAACTCTATGTAGAAATTATTTTTCTGGGACAGGAAGGAGATAGGTTAGTGAACTCTTTTGAGTCTAAAAAGAACATTCTATATATGGATCTATGTATGTTATTCCAGGGGGAATTTAGTGGTTGGGGGAGTGGGAGGGGAAACATCATCTTCTCATGGTCTCAGGTCCCTTATCTTGGTTTAGAGTAAAGTAAACTTGTGACAAATGCTTTTTGTCAGCAGCTGCAGGATGGCAGAAGTCTTACCTGATGGGGTAGTAGAGTTATCGTGGAAAGAAGTGAACACAGAAGGTGAAGATAGCTCATGTTTGAGCTGGAGAAACAGTTTTATGGGGAGGACACCTCCACATTGAATACAAAGGGTGTAGAAATGGGGTTGTTTGTGCTGTGTTAGAAGAATGTGGTAGAGACTGCAAACAGTTCTGAGTCCCAGAGGGGCTTGCTTGGGAGGTAGGTTTGACTTTAAAGCTGACAGTCTTTAAACTTGTTACAGAGGCTGAAAAGAGGTTAATAGAGGACTGCTAACATCTTGGCAAGTGTTTGTATGGGCAAGGGATGCTTGATGCTGCCATATTTTGGTCTACTGTGAAGTCTTGTCCTCATGTGGAAGCCCTGTGGAACAGTAAATGCTGTTGCTCATTTGCAGCATGTTACTCCCAGCGAGCATTTGTTTCTTGGTTTTTTATTTTTACAATCCAGTAAAATGAAATGTTACACCTTAATGTTACACCTGGATGCTTAAAGCAGGCAGATAACATATACCTAGGAAATGCATTTCTTTAATTTATTTTGTGAACAGCAGAACTATGAAGACTGATTTCCCATGGGGTTGTCTTGTCTGGCCTCACCACAGTACCCTCAACTTCATCCTTTCTTCTGGCATTTCCTGCCCTTGTTCATATCATAGCATCTTCAGTCTTCCCTCCATTCATCTTCTCTCTGTTCTTAAGTTACATGCTGTGTCAGCAGTTAATGGGTTTGTCATTGCTACTAACTTGCTGGACAAGCCAAATTCAGTGTCTTGGTTCCTGGGGGACCAAGTGAATGGACATGACTTGGTGTGGCTAGGACATATAGTCTGTTGGAATCTAGTAACTTTTGAAATCTGTTTTTGTCAAGTATCATCAAAATTATCTATCAGTTTCCAAAGCTTTGGTGCAGGTGGGTGGAGAGGAAACTGAGTAGCTGCCTTGTATTGTTACTAAGAAAATTGGGGTGGGAGAATGGAACTAAACCCCTGTATCTGCAGCTCAGGCATGATTCAAATCTGTAGTTTTCAGGCTAAAAGCAATTCTACTCCCAAATAGGAAAATCTGCTCATTTACAGTCAGATCAGGTATCCCAATTTTATCTTAATGCAACAGGTTTTTTTCTTCCTTATTTTGGGTAATGTCTGGTTTTGTGTTCTGAAATAAACTTTTCATTATACCATAAGAATCAAAATTCAGGCTAGGGAACCATCTAGGGAACGGTTGAGTTTCCTGGAAATCAACTGACGTTTGTGTGACTGCTGAAATGTCACTTATTATTCCCATCTGAAGAAAATTTCCAATTAAGAACAGCTAGAATTAATGTACAGTTTTACTATTTAAGAGTGTAAATCTTCAAGTGTTTGATAAATACTAGTAAGCTTTTAAATGTCAGAGCTTTGTGGGCTCATTAGCTAGCTCATTTTGCAGTGGGATTCACTTCCTTTTGTATTTCTACAGGCATTGATTTTAAAGTATGTTTATGCATGAATGTGATGACAGAGAAGCAAATTTTATGCAGGAGGCATAAAAGCTCATTGCTTCATGTTTTGGTGATGATGCATGAAGATATTTCAACTTTCATTA